GTTTAAGATTTTTGTTTTATAAAAAGTTTAAAAAAAATATTTAAAGATTTTCTTCTAATATTTTATTTAGGTTACAGAAAATAAAATTAGTTATATAAAAAAAATATATTGTATTTTGTTTTATATATTTTAAAATTAATTAAAGTTTTATTTTTAATAATATTTGATTAGATAATATATTGTTTTAAATATATTAGTTATAAAATTTATATTAATAAAGTAATTGATTATAATTTTTTGTCTAAGTTTTATATATATAGTATTTTTAATTGCTTTTATTGTAATTATAATTTTATGTTTGTTTTATAATTTTTTTTTTAATATTAAAAATGAGTATTTACAACTCAAACTTTTATTGATAATATATTTTAGCTTTGTAATTATATTACAACAGTCATAAAGAGCAACTATAAAAAGAATATACAACTAGTCATTTATATAATTTTAATCATTATCTAATTTAAGTAGTTTATCTAAAGATTTTATATATATTAGCTGCTATATTTAGAATCTACTTGTGAATTCTTTACTTAAATCCTCTACTTCTTATATCCATCTATCTATCTATTTTACCAACTGCCTTAGTTTTTACTAGTGCAAATATACTATGATCATTAGATTTTTAAAATAGTTTATCCATATAAAAAACCTTTAATCTTGTACTAAACCTATTAAAGCCTTCTGTTACCCAATTTTTAACTAATTTGGTATTGTTATGACTAATACCAACACTTGCAGTTAGAGTAATTCTTAAACTACTATACTCTTGTAGAGTTCATACAATTTTTGTACTTCTTTTTACAACTTTACTAATACTTTGTATATTCTTACAAGTCTTTCTATATTACTAATTCAATTAGCTTTATATGATGTAACTTTATATCTAGTTCAACTGATAACCAGGTTAGTAGATTTTTTTATTTAGAATTCTTGTCTGTACAGATTATCTGTCTTAGGTTTTTGTCTCTAAATTAAGATTTTTACAGGTAGTATTATTAAAAATTATACTATCTTTCTACTTAGAATTTTTAAACAGAACTTCTTATAGAATATATACTTTTTGAATTTATTTATATAATATTGCACATTCTTAAAGTTAGTCTTAATATAACCAAAATTACAGAATTACAATCTTAGATACTCCAAACAAGTTGTCTGAATAGGACCATTTTCAAATTTCTACTACTAATAAGATTTAAACTTTGAACCTACTGCTTAGAAGATGACAACTTAAATACTATACTAGAATTACAATTCTCTTGTTTTATAATTTTCAATTACTACCTTAAACAAATCTTTATATATAATTTAGTATTATAGTATAGATTGTTTATTTTTTGTAAATGTAAGAAAAAACACAATTCTAATATTTATATATATTTTGTCTTAATTGTTAGATAAAATAAGAAGCTAGTTAGTTTGATTTGTAGTTTATATATTATAAAATCAAAGATTCTTTTTTTAATTTTAAATATAATAATAATTTTATTGTATTTTTTTTTTTTTTTTTTTTTTTTGGTGTTAAGGTGACCTCTTTGGTACTAGCTTTTTATTAATACTTATGTTGAGTACATGTTTTATACAGACGTATCCATATTGAACTATTAGACGAGTGTACAACTGGCTATACATGTAACTTTTCTATATTATCTATTTAAGGAGTCTGCCTGAGGGTTCCCTACCAGTTGCTGTACCTAATACTCCTGCTTAGATGTTCTATTTAAACCCTCTGATCTAACCCTAGTATTAATTTTACTGAATCACAGACCCAGATCTGTTTGCTTTTAACCATAGGACAGTTATCCTCGAGATAAACCTACCAGAGCAAGCTGTATTTCTTTTTACTGCTAATCTGGTTTTAATGCTATGGCCAAGACCAACATTTGCAGTTAGGGTTACTTCTTAAACCACTATTACCCTTGTAAAATTCATTCAAACCCTGGTACCTATCTTTCTGACTTCTTCTTCATCGTCCCCTACTAGCTGCAACTCAGAACTAACCGACTCCCCAGACTTCCAATCCAGATAGCCCAGTATGGTATACTTATGTATCCTTTTCTTCTGGTGATTCCGGTGGCCTGGTTGGTCATGTGCTTCTCTATACATCTTTGTCATCCAGTTTATCTGACAGTTCCTATGAAGGTGTTTCATGGGCTTCTATCAGTCCAATGGCACCATCGAAAGTTTGTGCTACCTCTTTACTCGGGATTTCTAAGTAGGTTTCTGTCTCTTCGGTTTCTTAGCCTTCTATGCCCGGGAGACTTATCATGGATTTGCCTGAAGCCTTATACAACGCCGGTTTTACATTCCTCTATATATATGTACTATGTAATGTTACACTTCACATAGATGCCCTGAGCTTCCAATGTCAGGTGGGGCCCGACTTGGTGTACCTAAGATTACAGATGCCCAAAACCCAATCGATCAGTAGAGACAGTTACCATAACACAGATATAATTTCCAAAATTCATCATCTGTGAGAATTGAACCTTAGACCTGCCACTTGGGGGTTGACAACCTATCCACTTCACTAGGTCGCCACACCCCAATAATTTTATTGTAGTCTTATACATTTTTGTTAAAAGACTAAGTAATTCTAATTTGTAAGTTGTTATATATACTGTATATTTATTCTTAGATGTGGTCTATCTTTGTATTAGTCTAAATTATATCAAGTGTAAAAATATTTTTTTGATCATTTAATTGTAGATAAAAGATTTGTTTTTTTCAAAATGCTATTTATAATTATAACAGATTTAATATTTATATGATTGTTATTTATATTTGTTTGTTCTTTATTGTTTAAAACCTTTTTAATATTTGAATTATCTAATATGAATTTTTTTGAGCATGAAACCTGTTTTGTTATTACTACTTATAATAAAGTTTAGATAATTTTTATAAGTGATAATAATATAACTGTTGCTAATGTTTGCAGATCTTGTTGATGTGTTGTTAAAACTAGTTTGTACAAGTTTGTTATTATTATTATTTACATACAATGATATCATAATTAATTTTGATAAAAATAAACTGGATTGTCTATTTTTACATTTTCTTAGAATTTGAAAAAAAAATTTATTGTTTTTTAACTAATGTGTATCAGAATAAGTAAAATCTTTCTTGATACTAATTTTGTTTTTTAGAAAAATGTTTTTAAGAATATTTGTTGTTTGTTTTCTATTTGTAACTGTAATGTGGTCTAAAAAGAAAACTAGATAAAAAACCTTCTGGTTTATGTTTATTTTTTTTGTTTGTTGAAATATTGCTGGTTTTACTTATTTCCTTTTAATCTTGTCTAAGTTTCTGGTTTAATTGTCTATAAACTGTATGCTTAAGAAGCTAAGAAACAAATATTAAGTCCTAAACTTATTTACTTAATAAAATTTTATATATTTTTTATTCCAATTATTTTGTTTACTTATTATTTTATGATCTACAGAAAAGAGTTTTTTGAAAATTTAATCGATTATATTACTAAAATTGATGTAATAAATTAATATAATTTATTTACTTTTGACATTGAATACGTATATGACATACTAATTGTGTGATTTTTACAAAAATTGATTAATTAACTAATTTTGGCTGCGTCATCAATTAATTAATTGAGCTCAAAAAAATGAAATTAATTGCCCCCACAATCAATTATTCGGTAGGCCTGTTTATTACACAATTTTAAAAGAAATATTTGGATCATAATAATACGCACGCTATCTGCGCATAGATTTATTTTCTTAAAAAAGGTAGACCAGATCAAATCAAATCGCAATCTTTGGGCCGATACAATAAGTAATGGAGGACAAGCAGCAGGGACACGAAAAAATTCTATTTAATTTGTAAAAAATTCATTTCGATATTGTAAAAAATTCTTTTTATAGCGGTGTAAAATTTTACTCTTTTTATCTATACATTTTGTCTCTTCATAAGTGTCGTTTGTTTAAACTTTAACTTCGCAATAATATATTGTATTTAGAATAGTGATTTGAAGCGGTTCTGTTAACCGACTCGAATAAATTTCGGATAACCGAGCAAATTTTTAATCGGTTGACCCGGTACAACCGGTCGATAATCAGGTAACCGGTTAATAGGATCGATAAAGTGTAAATGACCAAAAGAGAGCAAAGATTCCGAAAAGAAACCGAATGAACATAAGAGACGAGCAAGGTTGAAATAAAAATTTGAGTGAAGCTCTGAAAATTTCCGATGTAAGAACGAGAAGTAGAGATTTAATCTAACCGGCTGTAATCGGTTGACATAAAATAATTCGGTTCGGTTAACCGATTGAGGATATTTTTTCGGTTCAAATCACTAATTTAGAGTACTTCTTATCACGCGCTATAGTTAGACCTTTCTATAAATGCACATTCTCAAGAAGTATCCTGATGAGTATACTTATGGAGAGTTTACTTTCTATAACTCTGCAATCTTTCAACTAATTCGCTCATATTTTCTGACGTTCTTAATTAAATTATCTGGCTCAAATTAAACATATACTATTAATTTTGCCCGAGAGTTGTAAAAAATTCCGGTTTGTACTAAAAATTCTGATTTATTCATATACAGTCATACCTCTTTATAATCACACTTTTGGGACCATATGAACTTTTTTTAAAAAACGTTCTTGTAAAGAGGTGTGCTTATATAGAGGTCTTTTGTTATATATTAGATAGTAATTGGGCATAAATATAGGTGTGATTATAAAGAGGTTTTTATATGATGTGATTATATAGGGGGTGATTATAGAGAGGTATGACTGTATATATATATGGATTTTCCGTGTCCCTGACAAATTGGTTCCAAATATCTTCATATTTTCAAAAATATCCGAGGTAAAACATTTCTAAACAAACTTTGTCAAAAAGAAACAAGAAAATTTGAGAAGCAAATAAGTGGCAAACAATTAAAAACTGTCTTATCCAAAGCATCATATTTTCTGTAAACAAATTTAAAATCATGATAAGATCTAAAGAAGGATTATGAATGAATGGCATCTTATCTTATCTAACGAGGAAATCACCAATCTCAGCTTCTTCAATTGCTGATTATCAACGGTGTGAATTAAATATCCACTAGGGTCCAAAATAGGCAAAGTGTATTTTTGTAAATAACCTGAAGACAGGCTTGTGACAAGATGAACTCTTTGCCAAAGTATAGTAATATTATGCTGAAGCTCGCCAGGTAACTCAAGTGGAATTTTCATCGGTGGCTTATTCTCACCTGTCGGGAAATTTTTTAGATCAATACACGTGAATATATGCGAGGTTTGATCGGTTTTACCTTCCAAAAATTTCCCAAAACTTGTATCGGTATATTTTGATCTAAAAATTCCATTTTATTCCATTTAATTGACCACAATCTATTTATTCCATCAATTGCAAAATTTCCATTTTATTCCATTTTTATATTATCGTTAATGAAAGTATTCACTGTCCCTGTTCTTAGCTCAAAGACACTATGCCTTGGCTAGTGATATTATATTAATCATAACGATAACGATAAGATTTAAATCAGGTGTCATAACAAAAGCCTTAATACTGTAGGACGGTGGGAAAGTATCATATATTGTTACATACGGGGCTTTGCTTGAATGGGCTAAACTGGTGTTGTCCATCTATTCAATTAATGATTGGTCAATCTTTGCATAAATTAGTAAAAATATATTGCGCAATGACGATAATCCTTTTGGCAAATATATTTTTTTGTAATTAATGATTGTTAAAGTGAATAATAAATTTGTATAAATGTCTATGGGTCTCTAGAAAAATCTTGTCGACAATATATTAGAAGTGTTAAATCCATTTCTTTTAAATAATTGCATCAAAGAAACTTTTCTATAACGACAATATTCAACTCAGAAAGCAATAACAAAATGGCATCTATCATCTCTACATTCAACGAAAATGAAAAAAATTCAATTAGCGAGCTTAAAAAGCTGCTTCCTGAAATTGTAAAAGACTCTGGTGTTCCTGAGAATTACATTCTTTGGGGCGTTTCCTTAGATAAAAACTCAACAGATGAACGACTCGATGTTATTCTTGTTAAATATTTACGAGCAAGGTATATAATTTATGTAGACAAAAATATTTTAACACTTTTTCTACGAAAATAATCAGAATATAATGCAATCTTAATTAAAAATGCATGAATTCAGATTCTCTTTGTTGACAACTATGTATAGCATATAATTTTTGATATACCTACAAATACTTTTATGACCAGTCTTAAAAAACGTGTTAAATTATTTTTGTTATTCCCTGTATATAATCCATCAATCTCACTAAATTCACCCTTTTATTTTTTAAAAAAGAAACCTTGATGTTTCGCTTGCGAAAGAGATGCTAACAAAGTCCTTGAAATGGCGTCTTGAATTCCGAACAGATACTATACTTACAGAATCCTTTCCTTCTGATATATTTTGTGAAGTTGGATTCATTCATAAACATGACAAAAAAAATAGACCCGTTACTTACAATCTATATGGTGGTCTTAATAATGAAGAAGTATTTGGAAATTTAGACAGATTTCTAAGATGGCGAATTCAATTAATGGAAAAGGGAATTCAATTATTGGATTTTAAAACAGTTGATCAGATGATTCAAGTTCATGATTACAACTTGGTCACATACGCGTCGTATGATAAAACTGCCAAGACTGCAAGTAAAAGCGTTACCCAAATTATGCAGGATAACTATCCAGAGTTTTTGGTTCGTATTAATATAATCAATCATAGGTTTTAATATTTAGTAATTAACTTTTTATATTTTCAAAATAGGAAATAAAATTTTTTGTTAATGTTCCTTGGTGGGGTGACTGGGTATTTAAATTTATTTCATTGTTTTTGAGTGAACAAACAAAGGCGAAATTTGTGGTCACATCTGCTAGCGGTGTCAAAGACAGCATGTTGGCAGTTATTGATGAAGATAATTTACCGGTTTCTTATGGTGGTAAAAGTATTGTACCCGAACTTGAAGACAAAAAAAGTGAAAACCAACCATCTTCGGAATAATTTACTCATGGATTTAATTTTGAATTCAAAACTTTAAAAAAAAATAATGAATGTTTTTGGTTTATTTTTTGTTGCAAATTTTATATACAAATTAAGAGTAATAGATGCAAACTAATGTGAGTTGTTTAGTATCTTATTAAGTTTTCTTACTTACCTGTACTTAAAACAGAAGTATGTATTTTGCCGTGTTTCATGTCAATAAATTTGTTACATTAATGATTAAACATTGCAGTATATAAGTGGAAAATTTTTATTAACTTAGTACACTAGTTGGGTGCCGTTTTGGAAACATTTTTTATGAAATTATTAAGATAGGCAAACGTTTCGCCCATTAAGTTGGATAAAGGTGAAATTCCACTTGATTGAGAGAGATTTGGTAGATTTCTCCGACACCCATTTAGGGATTGGAACCGCCTAAAAAATTTCTTAATCCTTCAATCTTTTAACCGTTTAATTTGGCCGGCATTAAAATAATTCCGGCCCACAACCAACACAATTCTGCCCGGAACTATGGAGCAATTTTTAAATGGTTAAACGGTTCCAATCCCTACACCCATTTTCCCGACAACCATTTCACCGACAGCCTCTAGCCAACGTTAAATATAAAGCGGGCCAACCTTAACTTAAATCGGGCTAAACTTTGTCAGGAAAATGGTATCGAAGAAATTGGTTTATACCGATTGCACGAAATAAGATGGTATCTTAAGAGTATAGGTAAGCATTTAGAACTTTTTAACTGACATATGTATCAGAAATGTTTTAGTGAAGCAGTAGAAATTGCAGTACAGAGTGTTTAAATAAACAATACCCATAGTTGGGTTGCAAGTAGTGCTGTTAAAAGTCCGATCCTATCCATCCGGACTCCTCAAATAGGGACTTTAATCAGGACTCGATCCTTGAGTCGATCCTTGAGTAAGGTTGAATATGATAAT